GTCCTAGAAAAGCCTTTTAAAACATTATTTTTGATACATATCATAAATCCGAAAAATAATAAAATATCAATAAATATTAAATTTTGAATAATAATATTAAGATCATAACGAGTTCAATAAAAGTTAAAACCACCAAGTTAAAATAACATATACGGCCTTATTTTGTCGGTTGCTATAACTCAAGATATATCTTTTTTTTAATTTCTCATTTAGTATTCGATATCCATATTAAAACTCATATTAATTCGAGTTTATATTGTGTAAAGTTCATTAATGGAGGAACCGCTTCCTATGAAAAAAATTTCATTCTCAAAGTTAAGTTCATTGTACCACGCCTTAAATAACTATCATGGATAGAGTAAGAACTTGTTTGGGTAGTTGTTACCTATTGTATTGTTATTTTATATACAATGTTTATTTTGATTGTTACTTAAATTTCATTGTATCGTATCGTTAAATTCACCGTTATATAACGACGAAAAATACCACTTCATGAAACGACGAATTTGGTGTGGTAGCATCATTTACTTGCTTTTTACCTCGTCTTGCCCCTCCTTATTATTAATCACTCATATTTTATCTTTTACCCTGTATTTTTATATCATAATTCTTAGTAATGTTGCAAGTTTGTTCCATATTATTGATGTATGACATCATGAAATAACGGCAAACGATACAATCTATCCAGACGTTATATTCATCAAACAATATAATACGATACAATATAATATAATACGATACGATATATTATAAAACGACATGCAACAACAATGCAAAGGAAACTGAAAATTACTCGTATTGGTGCTATTATTAAATCCAATAATTTATTCTTAATATTTACAAATTAAACGAAAAGTACAGTATTAATTAACTATAGAGAAATAATAGTTTATTATTCCAAAGAGTACATTTCAAGAGCACCATTCATAGTAAATTTTTTTTTTTCCTTATCACACAGAGAGCATTTTCAACAACACAAATTGGTGAATTACCGTTGAAATCTCCTTTCTTTTTATCTCTATTTTACTCTCTTCAATTTTCAGAAATTGTATCTATGATATCCGTCTGTTATCTCTTCGTCGCACGATCAAATCTCACTCTGGTTAGTTTTTTCAATTAGAAGTTTCAGTTTTTATTTGTTCGTGTATATTTCTCTCTTGTTATACAGTTAAAATGCATGCATTAGGCTCTAAAATGAAGCATTTTTTGTGGATTTTGCTTGGATTTTACTTTGATCTCGATTTTTCATGTCTTACTTAAAATTGGGGGTTTTCATTTTGAGCTTTATGTTTTTTTTAATTTTTTTTTTATATATATTTGCAGGGATCAGTTACGGTTAATTTATCTCAACATTCATCTGCTTTGTAATTACTTGAAGGCAACATCTGGGAAAAGAACCGATTTGGATGGTGAAAAGGTGCGGTTTTGAGTTTCCATATTTTACTCTTTTCATGTTTTCGTGCATCACTTGCATGTTTACTTCTGTAATAATGATGATATATGTATTGATGAAGAAATAGCAAACAAGGGAAATCCCAAAAGAAAATAGAAGTAGAGGAGGAAGAATAGATAGAAAGATAGAAAATAAGAACTAAATTGATAGAATTAAGCCACAGTTTGTATTTAACACTAATTACATTCTAATTACGTAATAATTGATCCTAATATATAGAAGATAAAGGAAGGAGATTACCAAAGAAGATCCACACCTTTAATGGCAATCCAAGGAGTTCTTCAAGAATCCAAAAGGTCTCCATATAACCTAAGATAAGCATATCCAAAACCAGTTAAAAATCTCGCACTACTCCAATTTATACTACTAGCTAAACAATGACCTTAGGCCCAAGTTCAACTATTCACAATTAATAGCAGTCCTAACATAACTAAAGGGGTCGCGAGGCCAGTGGGGCGTGTGGGACCATGCTTGAGTCATTCCGAAAGCTCAAATTGTGATAAAGTCTTGGTCAACTTATGGTCAGCGCTGGTCAAGCCCGTGGTCAATACCAGTCAAACTTGGTCAGCTCTCGATCGACCATTCATAAAGCCTTCCAGTCTTCTTAATTACTAAAGTTCGTAGCCATGCTGTTGTCATGTGTGTCCTCATAATAAGCTTTCTTTTCTGATTTCAGCAAAGAGAAAATCAAACGGAGACACTTTAGAAACAATTATTCAGAAAGGTAAAAACTTTATTCTCATAATTTATATATCTACGACCATCGCTTATAAGAAGGTTAAAAATGTAGGTTTAAAATCGTTCACGTGGTTTATAGGTAGAGTTGTTTGGGAATATATTAAGCAAGTTTTAATTTGGTAATCTTGTTCTCTTGGCTGTCCCTTTATTAGAAGTTCCTTGAGTTACATGTACTATTAGGTTCAGAAGTCTGAGCATGTATGGTAAAGAATTTGATGCTTTTCCTATAACTTCATTTTTAAGAAATCTGTTTGGGGCCAACCCTTAGGACCAACTGCGACCTTTGAAACCCGAGGATATTGGTCCATCCCTTTACTATCCACTTAAATACCGGGCTTAGCCTGTGACCTAAGTCACAAGTCCCTCAACCTTTGCCACTTGAACTAAGTCTTGGGGGCTTTAATAATTCTATTAATTATGGAAAAAAATTTAACAGCATATTATGATTCTATGAAGGACACATTACAAATAGGAATTTCATGAGTGCACCAAAAAGAAACTATAAATGAGAGCCTATAAATATACGTAGTCATTCTATTCCTTCAAAAGCTCTCCTATTTTTCTCTTTCTACACGGCCAACATGATTTCTAATGGTGCTACATCCCACGCTCATTGGCTTCTCTTCTTGCTTCTAACGTCAGAGAGCCTCCTTTACTGTGCCTAGAGAGTCTCTTTTACTGTGCCTAGTATCACCCATTGCAGCCCAAACGAGCGCAGAATCTCACACCACAAGCAATTTACCCCTTGACAAGTAAAAGGAGGAGGTCCACATCTTCACCTGAACTTTTGCACATAAAGCACCAGCTGACATATGTAATGCTCATTTTCTCAAATTCTCAGCTGTCAGGATTGTTCCATTGCTGCTACCTGCTAGCCAAGTAAAAAAGGACACCTTTTTTGGTGGCCTGGGGATCCGAACTGATAAATGTTGAAAATCCAGTTCCTCCCTCGGCAAGAGCTGATGACAATACGACTACACTGAAAAATCTCCATCTCTTTCCACCCTTCACCCACCTCCAACTTCCATGAGTCATGACTAGCGCATGATATAGTTGGTTTGTACAGCATTTCAGCCAGAACTTGAAATTCAGCTACTTCCCAGTCATGAAGTATTTTATGCTATGTGGTTGAAGATGTTTACTGTGGAATTACACTCCTGTATTGATGGCTTAGTTTTGTCACAAACATGGTGTGTATGATTTTTGTTAATGGTTGAGAAATCCGTTGTTTCAGCTTGTAAACTCAGTGGCTAATTCCGGCTTTTTACTGCCCTTCTCCACCCAAAATACTGCACTAGGTCCAACACTAGGTTTCAAGCTCGTCATGTACTTGCCACACATCCAACCCGTACTACCTTTTTCGTTGAACCAATGCCCTGGGGCCTGGTTGTATTGATATTTCAGCTTTAGTTTTTTTAGATGCTGTAGATTTGTTTCTGTATCAGTGTCATTATTTCTGTCGTATCTTCTGACAGTAATTTCTAGATTCAAAACTCTTCCGGATATTTGAACAAAGAAGTCAAGGTTTGCTTGACGCCTTTTCACTTTCATTTCATTAACTTACTTTGTTTGATTTTGTCTGGATGTTGTTATGAGATTGGGATATAGATTCTCAATTGGATGCTTTTAGTCTTTACTCTACTGCGCATGGAAATGCCAATTCTCATTTCTGATTTGAACGTTTGATAGTTGGGTTATTTTTACTGCTGTCCGCTGAAGCTACTTTTGAGCTATAAAGATCCATTCATTGGAGGCTATTCCTATTTAGCTTATGACTCTTCTCTCAGCTAGATCACTTAGAAAGTTGATCTTAAACATGATTAGGTATACCTGTGCCTGATCGATATACTCTTAATGCCGTTGCTAATTGTTCAACCTATTTTATTTTGTCGACTTTATGTTCAAGTTCTCATCTTCTTCTCCATGGCATAATCATCAGAACCGATCAAGTGGATTGAATGAACTTACTGGTGCCTATGAAGCTTGTCATACGAAGCTCGTTTTGGTTTCCAAATGAGCAGTTATGCTCGTCAGTGATGTAATACTGCCTGTCAACTGAATCCAGGCAAATTTGATAGTTGAGGGGGGTTCAGTCTTTAGAATTATGGTTGAGTTTTGCTATTCAAAATATGTACAGTTTTATGTATAAATGTGAAATCTTCAGTTGTTATTTTATCCTACACCTATTTTGGTAGATGGTGTGACTAGTGGAAATCTTTGAGTGCATAACTTCAAATGGGTGAGTCTAAAAGTGTGATTGTGGTCGAGAATTGCCCAAGACTTCATTGTATTGAAACCTCATATGTTGCTTGATCAACTTTTCCTGATACGAGCAAGTGTGCCTTGTTAGAGTGGAATGTTTGACTCCCAAGGGAGAGGAAATAGACAAATTGATTTGGAATCCTTTAGGCAACTTGTGCTTACTGAATTGCCAAAAAGGTCCTGCAGCCACTTGACTTTCAAATGAGTTGAATTTTTTGGCCATAATGCTTTATTATTGTCATGATTTTGTTTTGACAATGAACCAGAACCCATTCTCCATCAAACTCTGTAGCTGTAATCCTCTCCGTTTTGCATGTTCTTTTGGATCTTTACTTGCCCATACTAAAGCGTTCAAGATGTGATCAGGTTCACGATGTGCATCACTTCCATCACTCATACCCTATATTATAACGGATTCGAAATTGCAATCCACAGTTACCCCTGAAACAATCAGGTCTGCCATCATAATAATATACCTTTCGCGAAGTCATCTTGGAAATAGTAGTTTGAGGAAAATTTGAGTACAGGAAGAGTAGCTTGCCGTCTTTGCGTCATTAAATTCTCGTTTCTGTTCCATACAGTCTGGTTTGCTTTTTACCAAATATAACTGCTCTATTTTAAGCAGCAAGTCATGCATAGCGCTGTTTTTTCTTATCAATATCTAGGTGATGTTTTGTGAGATAAGTTCAGATTTTTGACTCAAAAATCATGAATGTTAAAACTTTTGAAGGGAAACTACTGAACTTTTAGGTTTTATTGAACTGTACTTATTGAAATGAATATAGACAAAGATATTATAATAAAGTATCAGTTGACCTGAACATTATCTTCATTGAATATCAGCTGGTACTCACTTAAGTTTGTGCAATCTCTTACAATGGATTTACGTGAAAGTTGTATTCTGATGCCTGTTTCTTCTCCAAGCAGGCATTCTCCACTAAATTTTACTGGATAAAATCGCGCAAAGGAATATGTCCTATAGTAATCAAATAACTGATTTGGAAGCAGACCAGCGAAGTCAAGATGTCCATCCGGAGCCTTGTGCTTTTTACCGGAGCTTAACAACTTTTCCGCAGCCTAATGTCCATGCAATATTACCAGCTCCTGGAAATGCTGGTAATTTCTATTTGCACCATCCACAAGACTGTCAAGAGGGTGCATTAATTTATGGGATGTCGCAGTACAATGGGGTTCAATATCAACATCCTGCCTCCAATTTCGACCCAGCCATTGCTTCATCGACAAATCATTATAACCATTACGTAGCTGCTCCATCTGCTTCTAGAGATCTCCAGGTTGCAGTAAACCATGGGCAACATGAGTGGCTTCCATTTTCAAGCACTCAAGGCACCTCTGGAATTAATGTAGACAGTTATGGAAGGAACAATATTTATGTCGACAGTGTCAGAGGCTTGTTTAAGAGAAAGAATGCTGAAGGGATTCCCGTGAATTTTCAGTATCAGCATGCCTTGGTAGGCTCCAGTTCTTCTCTTGCCCCAATGGGTGCTGCATCGTTTATACCACCTGAGTACAGAGGAAATGACTTATCATCGTTCATCGAAGATGGAGCACTGAGAAGTGTGAGGGACAGGTCTGGTGCTAGTGGTCCAGATAATGTATTAGGACACAACAACAATGATCTGCTTCAAGGAAACTATGTCGGCCAAGCCTGTCAATTTCCTGGAAATTATTGGTCAGGCTTGCAGTTCAACAGCAGCGCTAGAGAGACTGAATATTGGGCCTGGAATCGTAGTGCTCGTCTACCTTATCTGCCTGGTACTTCCTACTCATTTTTTATTTATGACTTTTTATGGATCTGTTCCAGCCTACAATTTTGTTCAGTTGCTAAGGGATCCTGCAGTTTCTTTCTTTAATGAGAAATTCTTGCTTTTAACTTTCCATTTTATGTTATCTTTGCCTAATTTGTGGATAAATTGTTTCGTAGGATAGAAGAGTTCTTAACATCTTCAATTGCATAAAATGAGAAATACTGAAATGAGAGTTCAGTTATAGAGGGCGGGGCGAACTATTCATATTTAGGGCACAAATTTGGAGACATTCGTGGATGGCTTCGATGTACCTAATTTACGAACAATAAAAGCCGTGTTTTTTTGACAAGGAGAAAATAAGGAAAATTCCCTCCAGCTCTCTCCTGAATTGATATAACTTTTTAGGAATTTCCACAGCAAATTTCTCCTGTTTCATGCATTAATATCTTTGCCTATTCTCTTCCTCCCCCTCCCCCTCCCCCAACCCCCCCCCCCCCCAAAAAAAAAAAAAATAATAAAAAATAAAAATTGCTCAACTAAACACTACCTATTCTTCTCTTCATTTAATGTTCATCAAAGTTGGTGCTGTTTTATGTTCCGTTCTAATAGTGCCGGTGCTATGTCACCCAGTTGAACAGTATCTGTATCCGAGCTTTCCTTCTGCGTTCATGTATGGTTAAAAGGATATATTCACAGGAAACAAGTCTTACCCTTTCTTTTCATCCTTACATTATTTTTTCCAAAACCTATTTCATATTTGTTCAAAGTGAAAAAGTTAACTTTGTTTTATGCAGAATGATTATATAGGATTCATATAGCTGCCCAGTGAATTTTGAATTGAGGCATAGTTGATTTGATTGATTGAATGATTTAAGAGTTAACCTTAAGAAATCATTGCAGCTCTCATTTTTCTTTTTGTACTGCTCTAGGACAGTCTTCTCTTTTTGCCCTTCCCCAAATCTTCAAGGGAAACTCAAGGTCTTTGTTCGAAGTGATAAAATTTTAACTTCCTAAACTAATTGCATGCCTCTTCTGCTTTTTTTTTCTTCCCATTACTCTAGGTGATACTCGAGGTTGTGAAGATGGTGGAAACTTCAGTATGCGAGGTTATCAAGTAACAGCCGGCAATGGAGGTTTGACTAGTTTTCTGCACCCATCCGTTCCTCAAGGGCACCCAAACCTTTGTCATTTGCCCCCAAATGTCCAAGGAGTGAGACCCCACATTATCACCCTCCCTCCACAAATGACTGCTTCTTCACACAGACACCTCCCGAGTAGCTCGTTGAACAGCTCTATCAATCCATTCGCCCTTGTGGAAGCAGGGCCTAGATATATTAGACCATTCCCACCGACTGGGTTTAGGTTGTACAGGCCTCAACAAGGAGAATTTATGCATGAAACAAATGTTAGACATCACAACCTACCTAACATGAGAGTTCTTCCTGAAGATGTAAAATATGTTTCTGTTTGACCAGATTTCCAGATTTTTTTGTCACATAATTGTCTAATTCCGGGCAATAAAATTTATGGGGTTGAATGTAATGGGTTATTCTTTGTTGGTGGTTGTATGCAGGGAGTGGCAATGTTGGATATTCCTGGCTACCATGAAGTGCGTGATCCTGCTGATCAGCACGGAGAGATGCGTATGGACGTAGATCACATGTCTTATGAGGTAGGAAGATAGAAGGTTCTTCAACTGTATGTACCGGTTCATATTTATCATGATGGTTACTGAGTATTATACAACTTTTCCTTTTTCCTTTTTTTTTGGGGGGGGGGGGGGGGGGGTAGGTATATATACTACTTTATTAATGTTCATTTTAACAATTTATTTTGCTGTAACTTCTGGAAACAAAATTTAAATCCACTTTAAAATCCTACGCCAGGAGCTTCTTGCATTGGGAGAGCAGATTGGCACTGTAAAAATCGGGTTATCAGAGGAGGTCATTGTTAGCCATTTGAAAACAAGATCATTTTCATCATCGGTAACTCCTTGCAATTTGGAAAGGGCTGCATGTTCGGATCACAAGACTGATTTCTGTGTCATATGCCAGGTATTATCCGTATGCTGATTTACAGTTGACATGGGAAGCATTTGTGTATAATTTTTTGGAGGGGTCATTACTCAATTTGTGAGGTGTTTTCAGGAACTTCTGATGATTCCTATAGCTTAATAAGTTAATTTTAGTTTTTCGGGATCATTCATGCCCACTGTCGGTATTTTTTTTTTTTTGATAAAGTAATAATTTTATTAATAGTTTGGGCACAAAAAAGGCCCTTATACAGGAAGTATACCAAAAAAGTAGAAAACCTACAAAATGATATGGTTCTATACAAACAACACCCAATCCTCTATACATAAAGGGATCTCACAGTTGCACCAAAAAGAAATGAAGGATAAAGAGGCTATTCGTCAATCGTATAAAGTTCATCTCAATATCTTCAAAAGCTCTCCTATTTGTTTCTCTCCAAATAACCCACATAACTGCTAGTGGAGCAACATTCCATGCCCTAAGTCTTCTCTTCCACCTCCGCAATTCCAATTGAACAACACAGGATTTCCCACCATAACCTTGAGGATACCGACATTAAAGGAGGAGATGGTCAACGTCTTCACACTGCTGGTATTATGCTGTCATTGCCTTCCTAATCTTTGCAAGGCTTCCATACCTTATAAGTTGGATAATTTACTAACTTTTAGTGTGTACGGAACAATGTTGCCACGGCCTCTCGAAGTTTCTGAGCATCTTGTTTTATCCATTCCTTCATAAGTTGAGCGTCCTACTTATTACAATTCAATTGTGTGCTATTACTTGTTAGGTTACTAGCTTTGCTATTCATTGTAGTGCGCCTTTTATTGCTTTTTTATTTTAAACTCTGATGGCCTGCATGTATGTAATATTATTTCAGTCTGATTACGATGATCAAGAGAGCATCGGGACACTTAAGTGCGGACATGAGTATCATGCAGATTGCGTAAAGAAATGGTTGATTATGAAGAACAATTGTCCCATCTGCAAGTCCACAGCATTGTTGACGAAAGGAAAGGATTTGTGAAAGCAAGCGATAGATGGTCACTGGATCTATCATTGAAAAGAACGATGATTTTTGTTTTCTTGCTATGTATTTATTCGGGTTCCTGAAACTGTACTATATTTTTGTACATACTCGGCAGGGTATGGCGAATGGTCAACCTGTCCAGAAACATCTTTATTGGCGCTATCTCTATCGCCTGAAATTGTACAGAAACCTCTAACTTTTGTCTGTCGCCTGAAGTTGTACAGAAAGTCAGAAACCTCCAATGGGAATGTCATTTGATCTTCTTTTCTTCAACTACTCTTGGATGTTCTGTTAATGTGTTCTTATGTATCAAGGGATACAAGGATCTGCACAGTTTAATGCTAATTCAATATGGCAGAAAATTGAAGATTGACAAATTAGACCACCGGTAACTTTAGTAAATGTATTTTCGAGAACTTTAAGGTCGTAATTGAAATTAATGGATTAATTTAGTTGGATCCTAGTTTGAGTCATGAATATAGAGTTTATTAGGAAGTACTATAGTACTTTTAAGCTAAATTACAACTTGTTCGGTGGAAGAGTATGGTGAGAAGGTGTCTGAGCAATATGCAAAGAAAGAGAAAAGTGTGAGAAAGTATGTGAAAAGGAAGACCGATGACAATGAGGAATATGGTTCCTCCATGAAGGCCAAGGTGGGTGTGGCCAAGGATGAAGGAAGAGAAAACCTGAGAACAGAGGGTATGTGGGGCAGAACATTTGCTCCTGATATTCTTGACATGACAGGGATACGCCAACTGGTGGATATTTGTGAGTTTCAACAGTGGACACATTTGTTCACAAATGAGAGCCCTAAATTGTACGAGGAAGAGGTGCGTAGTTTCTATGCAGACATGTTCGCAATAGCAGAGGACAACATCTGCTTGAAGGTCAACGGTGTAGACTTTGTGGTAGACGAGCATGTGTTGGGAAATATTTTGGGAGTACCTACTGGAGGAATATCATCCATTGAGGGGACTTGTTCTCTCAATTTCAGAAGTGCCATTCTTAAGGATGATGCAGTACGGCACGTGGAACGGGTACACAAGAAGGCCCTCCTTCCAATGTATCAACTGTTGTTCGAAATGGTGAACAAGGTTTTGCTTCCACGAGCAGAAAGACGTTCCATTACGTCAAAAGCACACATTTTCCTAATGGAAGCACTGGATGCCTACATCACTGTCAATCTGCCTGGTCTCATGATAGAGCACATGAAGAAAGTTGCAGATTTTAAGGATGGTAATCATGGGTTGCCTTACGAGTTCTTACTAAATAAGGTGTTTAACTTCTTCAAAGTCCCTTTGGGAAATGCTACAGTGCGAACTTGCAAGCAAACCTTCTCCAAGACCACCTTATAAGAGTATGGGTGTATTGATAAGAAAGGAGGGGTTGGCAACAATTCTACTACTCTCAACTGATTGAAGCTCAGAATGTTGCCAATGAAGAGATAAGGAAGTTGAAGGCACAAAATGTTATTCTTGAGGGTCAGCTTAGTCATGCCCAGGAGGCACCTGGTTCCAGCAATGCCCAAAGCACAGAGGTTGCCCGTCTGACCAAGGAAAATACTGATATCAGGAAACAGGTTGAGGACCTGAAGGAGAGGCTGCTTAACGAGCAAGTGTCGACAAATGCTTGAATGGATATCCTCCTTAGAACCCTTGCCTCTTCATCTCTGCCTCCCCCTTCCAGTGCTCCTTAAAATAATCCCCTTCCTAGTGTCCAGTTAACAATTGTCTGTCCTATATCTTGGTCCCTTTGTTCTGTTATTTTTGGTGACTGATCCTTTTTAAGATGTTTTATTTTGTGGATAGTTGTATAACAAATGGTATTGCTAATTATGTTCTCTTTTATTTAAAATTAATGAGTATCCCGTCCTTTTTCCTATACATGCTATACTCTTCTGCTATGTTTTTAGCCATGTTTGTGTGCACACATGTGGCATGAATTAACCATGATGGACTTCTTTTTGCTTATTACTTGTGCGTAGTCTTTTTATGATGCCGAAAAGGGGAAAATTAATTGAGGGGGAACAGGGAACAAGAGTGAACAGGTTCAGGGGGAATACAGAAAATATTGTATGATAATCTGGCTCTCAGGGGAACTTCAATTACAAGTTTGTCATCATCAAAAAGGGGAAATTGATAGGTTACGTGTCTTATTAAGTTTTGATGATCTAACAAACTTAACGATAAGAACCAGATCGGGAACCTATTACACATCCTCAAAGTGCTAAAAACAATAAGTCTCAAGTCGGGCACAAGTTCCAACAATTAAAGTCAAAGAGACGACAGAGGGAACATAAGGATATCAGTTCCCTTGCTGACTGTACCAGTCAACTTCCCACAGCTGTAAAGTTGCTGCAATTGTTCCTCTACACACACGCAATAAGGCAAACAATGCAACAGTCACTTTATGGGAAAACCTTGTATCGGGTAATTGCTTGCATCATCCAAATGACATCACTTGTATATTATCAACATGATGCAAGGGCAAACGGCTTACTTGAACACTTGGAAATCATCAAGCTTCTCTCTCAAGGGTGCTTCTTGCAAGTGACTTCAAGCCTTCAAGAACGAAGAACAACAGAACAAGGACCAGTTTCCAGCACTGCGTTACCATATGTCCTCAGTTGTGTTGTACTTTTGTTAGAGAGATTTACTTGTAACTCCTACTTATTTTAGCAAGAAGCATTGTGTAGGAAATCAGTTCTAACACCATAAACCTTATGTGTGTGTCTTGGCTAGAGTTAGTCGAGTTGTGAGCTTTGTAATAGAGTTATTACAAAGGCGCTTGATAGAGTTATTACAAGTGAGTGAGGGATTAAGAGTTTAATTCCTAGGTTACAATAGTTTGTAATCTGAAGTTTGCTCAGTAGTAAAGTTGAAATCCTACGAGTGTAGGTCGTGATTTTTAATCCCGTGAGCTGGAAGTTTTCCACGTAAAACTCTACTGTGTTATTTACTTACTGCTGTGTGTGTATGTTCTGTAGGGACTGATGGAGAACCAGGTTTTCTATACAGTTTGGTGGACCCTTAATGTTTATCACTTGCTAATCTATGTGGCATATGGTGTGGGTTTGAATTTGTGCTTGTCACATCATGAATGAAACTATCCTTCTTTATTCATCCTAAAAGAAAAAAAAAAAGAACAATAAAAGCGGGGTCAGTATGAATCCAACAGTCTGTAGACATTTATTCTTTCCTGTTAAACGAACATCTTGTTGCTAGAACAAACTGTTATAGCATGGCAATTGTAACTTTGCACGATTATGAAGAGAACAACTGAAAATGTATTTTGGTTGTGCAAAATTTGGGTGTGGTAATTACAAGTTCTCTTTCTTTGAGAAAGAAAAGAAAGAAAAAAGTTTGTCTTAGAAGTACCAAGATGTGAGTATGACACTTGTCTGACATGAATCAATAATATTCTGTCAGACACGAGTTTAGGACGACCTAAAATTACAAGGCAGAGGTGCAAATACACCAGTGAGGAGGTGTGAGAGGTTGGCCTTGGAGGGTCAACGGAGAGATAGAGGTAGGCAGACAAAGTATTGGGGAGAGGTGTTAGGCAAGATATAGCGTTGCTCCAGCGTACCGAGGGTATAACCATGGTTAGGAAGATGTGGAAGTTGAGAATTAGGGTAGAGGCTTTAGTACATCACTTAGTGTCTTTCGTGCATTTTTGTATTTCTGGACTTCTGTTATTACTTGTTATTGTCTTCGCTTCGTTTTCTAAATGTACTACCTAGTGTTAGTTTTGTGTTTTCGCTTAGTTTTCTGATCAGTTTGTTTGTCATTGCCCCTTCCCTTTACAGCTTGTTTGGATGGTTGTTCCTCATTGTATCGTATTGTATTGTTATCCCAAAACAATATTTGTTTTGATTGTTTCATTAAAATTAGTTGTATTGTATTGTTAAATGCATTGTTCCGGAATAATGAAAAGTCCCCTTTTTTGAAACAATAGGTTTGGTGTGGTGGGATTGTTTCCTATTTTTCTTTCCAATTATGCCCTAACTTATTACTCCACAATTCTATTTTAACCTTTACATATTTTTCTATTTTAACTCCAAATTTCAAACCTATAACCTACTTTGGTTTTTTTTCCAAAACTTCTGCCGCCAACGTTAAAGGTGTTTTGTCGCCTTCTGTTTTATTTTTTCTCCTAATTTGCTTTTAACTCAATTCTAATTAGTTGTGCTCCTTTGTTTTGCCTTCTTTTGTCTCGCTCCTTTGTTCTGCTTTCTTAAGGTGTTTTGCCTCCTTCTGTTTTATTTTTTAAAATTATTTTTATGCATAATTTTTGATAAATTTAATATTTAAATAATTGAGGGTATTTTAGTAAACTTATCAGTTACAGTACAGTACGATGCAGTCAAACCAAACAGCAAAATATTATTTAACAATAACAAACAATACAATCTATCCAAACATTGTATTCATAAAACAATACGATACAATACATTATAAAACGATGGGGAACAATGATCCAATCATAGTGTTATTTGTCCTGAGTCGAGGGTCTACCAGAAACAGCCTCTCTGTCTTCTTAAAGGTGGGGATAAGATATACGTACACACTACCCTCCCCAGACCCACTTATAGGAATACACTAGGTTGTTTGTTGTTGTTTTGTTGTTGTTAAACTAAGGAAAATAATGTATAATAAAATATCTTTCGGTGAAAAAAATTTAATAATGTTATAAATACAATTATATTTATGGTGAATGTCTATATTTAGAGAGATTCTAGGGTTCATTGCTTGGTGGCTAAGCCACCCTTTCCCTATAAATAGAGGGTTCTATTCTATTGTAATTCATTCCAAATTCAATAAGAATTCCCTCTCCCTCTTTCTCTACAATATTGTTCTTGTTCTTTTATTATTTTCATAACACGTTATCAGCACGAGACTCTAACCAATTGAGTAGAAGCTTTGGGATTGAGCATAATGATTGTCAATTATTTCATGAACTTCCTTCATGATTAAATTCTGGATTTAAGGTAAGTATTTTACCGTATTTTTCTCTTTTATTCTATACTTTGATTTAAATACAAGCAAAGACAACAAAGTTTGATTATAACTCTAATAGAGTTTGTAAGAAATTATAACCGCCTGAAGTGGTAAAATTTCTATGCCTCGCCATGATCAAATTCATGTATGATTGTGGGCAAAGAATTGAAAACTCGTCCCATTGAATTTGCTCCATTCTCATTCCCTTAAGAGAATGTGATAGCAGTATGTGATAAATCTGAAAGAAGACAAAATTATTACTATGAATGTATCAAT